AAATTGTTGTTATTAATTATTATTATTATAGTTAACCACTTTTTATTAAAAAATTAATTGTTAATTATGGCATCGAACAACCCATCATCTAGGTCTAGGGGGAAAGGCCGACTTATCCGTAGTAGTAGTTCTAGGGAACCACCAAATACAACGAGCCCCCAAATTACGAGTCAAACCAATGACCCCATTTACTTCCCCCCGGGCTATGAGCCATATAATACGTCGGGATTTCCAGCACCACCACTAAACCAATTTCCACTACCACCATACCAATTTCCACCTAATTATATCGGTGATCAACAAAACTATTGTTCTAGCCAAGGTAGCCAAGAAAGTACCCGAATTCCCTCCGGTTCTACCCCTTCTACTGCCACTCCCACTAGTCCCACTACTAACCATCACACACATCATGAATGGTTAACCGAAACTGAGATGCTACTTTTGAAAAACCGAAGGAGTGAGGTATGGCGTTATTTTGTCCTAAGTAAAGATGGTGAACAATGGGCAAAATGTAAAACATGTAATAGTGTATTCACGGCAGTTACCAAAAACGGGACGGGACACTTATCTAGGCACATGAAATTTTGTGCAAAACCAGCTAGTGATCCAACCCAGCCCAAAATTTCCCAATTCCATCCATACGGCTTTACATACAACTATGAGAGGGATAGGGATGAACTAGGAAAAATGATAGTACACGCCGAACAACCTTTTCTTTTCTCGGAAAGTGACGCATTCAACACCTACATTAACAAAGCACTACAACCCCAACATAAAAGAATCTCTAGGAAAACCGTTCGTTCCGCCGCAATGAAAAATTTCCTAGAGTACATAGTCCGGTTACAAGCCGAATTGAGTAACCTTAACTGTAGAGTATCTTTAACAGCCGATTCTTGGGATAGTGGTTATAAATATCACTATTTATGTGTGACTTGTCATTGGGTAGATGATCAATGGATGTTACAAAAAAGAATAATACATTTCAAAATGTTGGAATACCCACACACCGGCATTAACATTGCTCACCATTTAATGCAAGCAATAGACGAATACAACCTTCGAGATAAAATGATGTCTATGACTTTTGATAATGCAACCTCTATGACATACGCAGCTAATCTTATCAAACAAAACTTAACCGATGTACTATTAGACGGTGAAGCTCTTCATACTAGATGTGTTTGCCATGTACTTAACTTATGTGTATAGGATGGAGTTCGGGCAATTGGCCCATACTACAGCAAAATCAGAGATGCTATTATGTCTATTAATAGCTCTAACATGAGATACCAAGAATGGAAGAGTTTTCTAAAACAACAAAAGATAAGGGTAATAAAAGTTAGAACCGATTGCCCAACTAGGTGGAATTCCACCTATGACATGTTAACAAAGGCAATTGAGTACAAGGGCCCGTTAACATTATTTTACAACCAAAAATTTCCACAAAATGCTTTGTATGATGATGATTGGAATAACTGTGAAAGATATATGCAATTTTTACAGTTATTATATAACATGACGTATTTTTTTTCTACTGTTTACAATCCTTGTGCTCAAAACTTTCTTTCTAATGCATGCTTACTCGCCCAACTTTTCGCTGATCATCGCCATCAAAGTGATTATGATCAGTATCTTCCAGCAATGGAAAAAAGTGGCGTAAATATTATAGTGAGATTCCTTTGATTTATATTTTTGCTTCCATATTAGATCCTAGGCAAAAGTATGAAAACACATTTATGTTAGTTGACATTTACTTTCAATGCATGTTTCTTGACGATGATGTAGAAAACTATAAGACTAATGTGAAGGATCAGTTTTTTGCTTTATATAGAGTCTATGAAGCCAAATATGGCACCGTTCCTCGCTCAGGGCCTTCCCAACCATCCAAAAACGTAAGTAAGAAGGCCAAACATTTATTTTCACAAGCTACTAACTTGATTTCAAGGTTTTCAGGTGATTCATCAATCAGGAGAACGCAAAGCGACGTCTCGGAGTTGCAGATGTACCTGAGTTACGACTTCACCAAAGGCATGGACGACGATGAGATAAACAACCTCGACCTCCTTGCATGGTGGAAACAACAAAGCTCGAAGCATCCAACTTTGGCGGCAATGGCACGAGACATTCTTGCTATCCAAGTTTCCTCCGTCGCCTCCGAACGAGCTTTCAGCGCATCCGGAAGGGTTTTAGACGATAGAAGAACAAGTCTAAAACCCGAAACACTAGAAATGTGCGTGTGTTTCAAAGATTGGTTGGATGCGAAAAATCGCTCACAAGACCGTTCTTACGACCACAACGACAACGAAGAAGGAACCTCCGCTTCCGGTTCGGGTTCGGCTAGTTCCCAATCTATGCAACTAGCCGATGACCTTGAAGGCGAAGGCGAAGGCGAAGACGAAGACGAAGACGAAGACGAAGACGAGCAAGAAGAATAGACAATTATTGTATATTGTACGATTTTAAAAATATCAATTTTATCATTTTTCAATTTTTGTTTAATACCATCATTGTATGATTTTTATCATTGTTATCATTGTACAATTTTCTCAACTCAATTAATAATAATATAAAGTACGCATTATTCACATCCGAAGTCCAATTTGCCTTTTTTTCCCCGTTTTGTTACAATTTGTAAATTCATATTAAAAAAAAATAAAATTATACCAATTACTAATAAATCATAAACATTAAATTTTAAAGTAATAGTATAAAGTAAATATATAAATATAAATATTGAATATACAAATTATAAAACATAAATATTCAACTTATAATTATAAAATTCATAACTTAATAACTTATAACTTATAAGTTATAAACTTATAAGTTATAACCTTATAAAACTTATAATTATAATTTTATAACTTATATAAATTATAAACTTATTAATTTATAATGTTGTCATATATTAAAAAAAAAAATAAAAAAAAATTATTTGAAAACTGCACCAGCCCGCAGGCCAGCCCGCAGGCCGGCACGTGGCCGGCACGGCACAAGCCCGCCAGGCACGAGGGTCGTGCCGTGTCGTGGGCTGGCCTGTGAAAATGGCCGGCACGGCACGACACGAAATCCTGGGCCCGCCGGCACGACCGGCACGGTGCCCAGGATTAATTTCAGCAAAGCAGAGTAGAATAGAGCAGAGCAGCTCAAAAGAATAAGTATGATAAGTCGTGCATGGCCTACGTGATTGAATGAATGGTCAACACGAGCTCAATACGGAGTATGGAATGATTTTTTCTTGGTCTATTCTAAGCACGACCTACTTCAACACAAGGCATGCTAACAAGGCACATGGCTCTACACGCCCTAGATTGTGCCCATCTTTAGCTTGTTCCTAAACATTATTCTTGTCATCATTTTTTACTTTAAACATTATATTACACGTACTCTACATGCTAAAACAAATCTAGTTACCCATTAAAAGTAACTCAATAATGCGGATGGAGCAAGCTTTAGAGATTAGGAAGTGCTCCTAAGTTCCTTTTTTATTTATCCCTTTAAGGACTTTAAAATCTTAAATCCTATATTGTCTATATTATTTTTCATAAATGGCTCACACACGTATGAGCGCGTACACACACACATAATAGCGCGCACACACACACAATGCATACTTTTGTATAATAGTGAAACACTCGTTCTTTTCACCTAACTTTCATAAGTTTAAATTATTATAAGTTGATTGAAGCTTATTTTTCTTAATTAAATAATTTTTAATGATTTAAAACATTTTTTATTTTTTTTATTTTTTTATTTACTTGTACTTGTATATTTGCTATGTGAAGTTAGTAAGATGGTTTTCACTTGATAAAACTTTTACTTAAAGTGGATGAACATGACCTAAATTGTGCAATATCACAATAGTATGTGTAGACGTCATAGCTTCTTATATCCCTGGTTAAAAATTGGAGGATGATATTGAATTTTCATCTATGGGGATAACATCATCAATAATAATATCCATGCATGCAAGCAGCTTTTCTACATTAAAAAAAAATTACTTTGTATATAGTAAGATACTCATATAACATATACTCCCTCCGTCTCTACATGTTTGCACCATATAAACAAATAAAAATGGATGCCCCTATAAGATACTCCACCCTTAACTATCTTTGATTACGGGGACTACACATTTACCTTACACAAAATACTTTTGTCCTACCACTTTTGTCTCTTTTGAGCTTTATGAACTTCATTCAACCAAAAGTTAACAAAATCAACCATGCATAAGAGATAAAATATAGGGACGTAGGGAGCAAAATTTCTTACTACTATTTAATTGAAAAAAATTTACTCGTATAATTTTGGTATATTGCTGTACATTATGATACACTGATAAAGCTGAAAGCTCTTCTCTTCTAATAATTCTGTTCTACTATGGAGTAATGCTCAGTGGCTGTATTTTTTTAATAAGTAGAAAAGGTTATTGATGATAGTATGTGCGGTTCTTTGCTTGCAATATGTGGTTTTGTTCGTTGTATCTTTACATGCTGCGAGTACATGCAATTTGCAACGGTCAAGATACTAATTTACTACTCCCTCCGTTTCATAATACTTGATACAGTTTTTCATTTTCGTCCATTCCACAATACTTGACACATTATTAAATATGGAATGAGATCACTAATAAAATAATATTTTCTTATATTTTCTATCTCCTCACTACCCCCACCCCACCCCCACTTATTGTTTTCTTGCAATATGAAAATACAAAAGAGAATATTTTATATACGGACTAATAAACAAATGTTTTAAATGAACTCATTTGAATTTTTCTTAAACTACGCGTCCACCTCAACGTCCCAAATATTATGGGACGGAGGGAGTACTCCGTAAGACCGTAACAACTTCAATAAAATAATTCTAAAATTAAATTCACACCAACTTTAATTTCAAATAAGTAAAAATTAGATCATAACTTTTGAATGTAAGATCATCTTTAATATGGACTGAAAAGTAGATAAGAGTGTTGCTAAGTACTCCATAATGTACATAACAACTCTTTTTTGGATGAATTATTAAAGATTATAGCTGTTTAAATGGTTTACAATAAGCCATTGTCTAAGGTTTTGAGAATCTAAGAAGATAAAACTATAATCAAATACCAATACTTACCTATATACAACTACGAAGTATTATTCATTACAATATATATTTGTGAAATGTGAATGCTTAGACAGATTTCCACAAATAATCATTTTAAAACAATTCTTATGTGACATTGCATATTAATCACAAACAAATTAAATGATCTTGAGTAAAAAAAAAAAAAAAAAAAAAAAAAAAAAACAATAAATTAAATAATCTAATCTGACCCGATTACATGTTGATCCGAAATGATTCAATTTGTACCCAATCCGAATGACCAGATTACAAGGTCTAACCATCTAGACTGTGTACTCGCAGTAAATAAAATAAGCAATTTATTTAGCAGAAAGTCTAAAAATGAGTCCACATTATGATACTCCAAAGTCCATACTCCACGTTTTGGCGGTCATCCTCATTCAAAATCCTCACTCCACTCTCTCTCCTTCTCTATTAAACCCTAATTTTTCGACTAACTCAGAATTCCGACCGATCAAATGAAGACGAAGACGCCATTGAAGCAGCTCAAGCTCTCTCTTCCTGCTCAAAAGACTCCCATCACTAGCTTCTTGTAAGCTCATTTTGATGTTATCTTTCTCTCTCCTTCCCCAATTTCGTGACCCTTGTTTCAATTTGATTAATTGCAATTACTTCGTTTTTAAGGGGTTTTTTTTCCGAATTAATTGATTGATTTTACAAGTTTATTTTGATTACTTTGTAATTTTGATTTTTCTGGGAAATGAGAGTGAATTGAAATTGATGTTTCAGGAGTGCGAGTGGGACATTTCAAGATGGTGATTTGATGCTGAACCAGAAAGGGTTGCGGCTTAAATCTGATAATAAAGAACCTCGTGTAAATTTCTGCTATTCTTTTTAATTTTTTTTATTCAGTTTTGTTGATTCTGCTAGTTTCTAATTGATGTTTAATTTATGGGTGCTATTAATGCCTTATCAGTGTTATCACTGAAATTAGTGGGAGTTTTTGGCTTATCGATTTCGGATTTAAATGGTACTAGCTTTGATACTTTGTTGAGCATTGGTTGAGGTCTGTATGATTGTATCAAATTTGATGCCCATTAGTCCTGTATAATCTTAGAACTGAACACTAACTTTTGAATGGCATATAGTACTAATAGTCTTAGCATAAGTTGCTTCATGCTAGTGTTTTCAGTTGATGGAGAAGATGATTGAAAATCCTAGAGTCATCATAGTCCTATATAATACAGAGTAGTAATTGATTGAAAACTGAAAAATGAATGCCACATTGTAGTGTAAGTTGCTTCAGGCTAGCATTTTCAGTTGGTAGAGTAGATAATTTATAATCCTGGAGTTCACGATTGCAATCTGATTCTTGGTACATACATGGTTTGTTTTTATTTTTCATAAATTCTAATAATTGAACAGTTTGGTTTTATTTACATATTAATGAATGGTATGGTCATGACATTTACAGACTAACACAAGTCATATAATTCATAGATGGGTTATCAATCTGGTATTCTGCCTTACATGACTAAGCAGAAGCAAGTGAACATCTCATGTGGTCCATGTGATCTATGTAACTCATCAGCAGCCTCGACAATTTAAAGTTTCTGTTGTTCTGCATTGAGTGCATAATCATGACGGAGTATCTAGGTTTTCTTTTCTTCAAAAATTTCTGAACTAGTGTTATTTGTTTGAACAGCAATCAGATGCTAAAGAGCTTGACTTTCAAGTTACCTTGGAAGATCTTGAGACTGTAAAGGTCATTGGCAAGGGAAGTGGTGGAGTTGTTCAGCTTGTTCGGCATAAATGGGTTGGGAAACTATTTGCTTTGAAGGTAATTGTATATATGGCTGTTTCATATTTGGTGATCAACTACTCTGTACCTATTTTTTATTCTTATGAGGAGAGTAAATTGAGAAGTATATCAAAAATTCAAATTTATAGTACCACGAGGAAACGCCGACCTTTCTTTTACTTTTTGAGCGGGGGGAAGAGGGGGGGGGGGGGGGAGGAGGAGTTATGGAGTAAAAGCCAAAAAATCAGCATCTTCATATTCTTAGACAACAATTATATCAGATTCAAGTTCATATTGCCCTGGAGTGTACAACGTGCTGCATTCCTTTTCCTAAACCAAGATGCCTTACAATATAACAATCACTTTGTAGCTTTTCATATTGATGTTGGCATTGTTGTTTGATTTGCTGCTTCTTTGTAATTTTTGAGCAACAAGGTCAGTTGCTATCCCCTTCTACCTATGTTTAATTTGGCATCTGCCATGTTAACAGGAGCCATCCAAATCGATTGTCTTAAGTTACAAAGTGTTTAATATGCGCGTGTGTTAACATGAACATTCCTGAAATTACAAATTTTATTCAATAATGTATATGTGACTAATATATACATATGCTATTGCAATTTAATAAGATCATTCACATTGAATCTATAAGGAATTATTTGTACTTGTAACAGGTCATCCAGATGAACATACAAGAGGAGATTCGTAAACAAATTGTACAGGAGTTAAAGATTAACCAGTCATCTCAGTGTCCTCATATAGTTGTATGCTATCATTCCTTTTATCACAATGGAGCATTCTCTCTAGTTCTAGAGTATATGGATCGTGGCTCTTTGGCGGATGTCATTAAACAAGTCAAGACGATCCTTGAACCTTATCTTGCAGTTGTTTGCAAGCAGGTATCTTTTTCTGGTATTTCATATCAATGCTATTGCATATAGGCCCTTTTATTATTTGTTCTGGGTGAGTAGCTTTGTTCTTTTTTGCAGGTGTTACAAGGTCTTGTATACTTGCATAATGAAAGGCATGTCATACATAGGGACATGAAGCCTTCCAATCTATTGGTAAATCACAAAGGAGAAGTAAAGATTACCGACTTTGGTGTCAGTGCAGTGCTAGCTAGCTCAATGGGTCAACGTGACACATTTGTTGGGACCTACAACTACATGTCGGTAAGTTGAAATCACCTTTCTCATTCTAAGCTACAGTCCAGGAATGGTAATTCATTAACCTGCTACAAACATATTTGTGCATTTTTCTAAGCTGAGTACATAAATTGTGTGCCTAACATGTCATGTCCAGCCGGAGAGAATAAGTGGAAGCTCTTATGACTATAGCTGCGACATTTGGAGTTTGGGTTTGGTTATGTTGGAGTGTGCCATTGGGCGTTTTCCCTACATACAATCTGAAGATCAGCAATGTGCACCGAGCTATTTTGAGCTTTTGGCAGCTATTGTAGGAAGCCCAGCCCCTTCTGCCCCATCCGATCAGTTCTCCCCAGAGTTTTGCTCCTTTATATCTGCTTGGTAAGAACTTAAATACATCAACTCTTTGAGAGAAATATCTGGTTCATATGATGCATCTTTGTTCAAGATCTTTTAGTCTCATTTACTTAACTCCATTCTGAACATGTACTTTCGTAACTTACCCTTATTCAACTGTGATTTTCTACCTGCTACTGGAACATATTACATGATCTGTGTTATTTTGGGGAGAGTAGCTACTATCTCGCTTGCCCTTTTTTTACTTAAATATTAGGCTGGTGGTGGTATCTCGGTAAGCTGGTGTGTCTGCAGCATAATAAAGGCTCATAGAAAAAAGTTCTTGTAGCTTGGAAACCTAGACCTTTGAGATTCATAATGGAGGAAATCTTCATGCTTTATTCCAGTTAAGAGTTCCCTTTGATGTATAGCATGTCAATTGATCGAGCTAATTCATATATGGAGTGTAACCTAAGTCATTTTGGCTGAGCCTTTCTTTCTAATTAATCTAACATGCTGCGAGTTCCCTTTGCAGCATACAAAAGGACCCAAAAGACAGATGGACATCTTCAGACCTTCTGGTTTGTACTCATTCTTTATCTCATATCAAGATGATTTACTCTTAATTCTTATTCTATACTGAACTGTCTACTAAACCCTTTTCTGTTGGCTGCAGAATCACTCATTCATCAAAAAATTCGAAGACAAAGATATCGATCTGGGGATTCTGGTTGGCAGTTTAGAATCCCCTGTAAATTTTTCAAGATAAGTTTATTTACAATCGTTGTATTATTGTAGTTAATGTAACAGAATATACTATTATACATTTATACTATGTGAAAGTAAACTGGTTGAGACTTATAAATCAAGCAAGCAAATCTATTAATTACATTCATTTAGTGCGAAGAATAACGGCTTAAGATCAAAGATAGTTAACTTCATAAAATATTACACATGTTATCTGTGGAGTACAAGTTTACCATATTGGATCTTGTACAAAATTTTATCGTCTCGCTTACTGTCATACGTTATTGAGATTGTACAATAAAGCTGTTACTTACGTCAAACGAAATGAGTATGCTTGACGATTGAAATTGTTACCATATTAGATAATTTTGCAATGTCTCCTACAAGTGGATGCTTCGGATATCACACAAGCGTTATCACTTATCAAATACGCAGTATACAATCTTTGTTCTATCCAATCCAAATTCTAAATCAATTTGATTATACTACATTGTAAACATAGAAGGCAATTATCATTGCTCTTTTATCTACTTTTGAGAAAATACTCTCCTAATAGAGATATCACTATCACTATCACTAACTTCACTCTCCTTGGAAACAAAAGGCAATTATTAAGGATTTTGTTTTCCTTAATCGAGTGGGTTTTAGCTACTGTATGCTTAAATTCTCTTACAATATACCCTTCTTTGGTATGATCAATTAGTTATTTACAGTACAATTTAATCTTTTAATGTTCCTTTCGTCTTGAGTTAAAAATCACATTGATAGGAGCATAATTTAAACATTTAAGACTTTATATACTTTGTATGTGACGTATGACAATTGAGTGTTTTAATTGATACGGAGTACACAACTATTATAAATTTAATCCCTAATTACTAGCTTACCACTTCGTAAAAAGTATCATTGGATACTCCTATGTGGTATGAGATAATTCATACATTAAACTTTATAATAATCTCTACTTCGAATCTCGTTATAAGCATATATCTCCAACTTTACTTCAACACGTATTATAAATTTGAACTTTGTAAATCGAATTTCATTATCATAGGTTTGAATATTGATGGATCTTAAATGTCCCAAACACGTTCTTAACCAAGTCAGCATCTTAAATGGTCCACTTGGCCAGAATTTTTTTTTAAAAAAAAGATTGAAAAAGTAAAAAATTAAAAAACAAAAAAATGGTAAGAGAGAAATTGACGTAAGAGGTCAATAGCGTAGGATTAGTTAGGTAGGGGACAGGTTTCATATTTCTTAGACATCCATAAATCACACCATATTTATCAACAGCAAAAGTGCATATCACTAGATAAGATCGACCAGTGTATGGCTTGTAATTTTTTGAATTTGTCAATCTTAATATCATCATATAAAAGTATATGCGAATCTTTAAAAAATAAAATTTAAAGAGTAATATTTTAACAATTACTGTATGGAAAATGTTATATATAATCCTAATGGTTATATATAAGAAGCTAAAAATGAAAAGAAAAAAAAAAAAAAACAAACAAACAAACAAAAAAAAAAAAACATTAATTACACTTATTTACACATGATTTTGTCATACATTTCTAAATTAATATCAAACTAGGAAAAATATTTAATGCTTATTTGTATCCTTTAGAACATAGCATTACCCTTGTATACGTCATGTTCTGCAAAACATATTTAGATAAAAATATTTAATGCTTATTTGTATCTCTAAGAATATAACACTATCCTTAATATATACTTGTATACGTCATGTTCTGCAAAACATATTTAGATGGACTCTTATTAAGTTAACTGGTTCTTATGAATTTAATTTTTCAATAATTTTTACAATTTATTGTAATAAGTTGGTTGGTGAATTTTTATGATAATATATTGAAAATTATACTACGTGTACAAGATTTCTTACGTGATAGATAAAAAAGAGCTGATGAAATATTTTTATGGAATAATTTATATAGTTTGCCCCCAACTTAAATGAAAACTTTTCCTGAATTTACGGCTACCCTTGCCTAGCACATTCATCATGTTGATTACCTATCTAAACATTGGATAATGGCTATTCTTAGCCACAAATTCTCTTTTTATGGATATACCATTTGCAATCAATACCTCATTACTTGAGTACTCATGTAAATAAATAATAATCATATTAATCACGTTTGTGAGCTAAGACAAGAAGTTGCCATAATTCAATTGAATTGTTTGAGTTGAACACTTACACGATTACTCCGTATCAGTGTATAAAGTATGTGACTAATATCTTCTTAAATTTAGTAAATGTACTAATGTTGTTTAAGAGAAATAGAATAAAAAGTACTCAAATATCATCTAAAAGAATCCTTTGGGGCAACTTTATATATTGCTGGATAGCTTTGTTTTTCATATATTAGAAACTTGATTTATTATGGTAAAACAAAATAAAAAAAATAAAAAAGTCTATGAAATACGTAGTATACTAGATGTAATTAGACTTGTCAAATGAGTCTAACTGATCATCAAGTTTAAGCTCGCTAATATTTGGTTTAAGTCCTTTTTTCAAATTGATGATTTTGTGCATTGGTTGAAGAGTATTTGTTTAAGGCCTAACACATTCAAATAGGATTAAATTTACCCTTAACATCATACTTGTATTAAAGAATAAAAGATACGAATTTACGACGTATATATGTAAGCTCGTTGTAACAAAATTTTTAGTTCAACTTATGAATCCCAAGTTAGACCAAATAAAATTATTAATAGTTGAATCCAACTATACATATGATTCTTCAAATTAAAATACGAGTAGAAAAGAAACGTTTATAGGTTCCGTGATTTTAATAAATTTAGATATTTAATTTTTCATAGTACATTTTATTAAGAGATAGAGACTATAGGGTTTGGTTTAGACGAATAAAAATGTTGGGAAGTTCGATTTCAAATTCAATCATATTTTGAGTCAATCAACCTTGTTCAATTAGTTCAAATTTGGTATTAAGTCAAGTTAATTACCCCTGTTAATAAAGTCTAATGAGTAAATATCATAAGTTACAAATTATGAAATGTATTGTTGAAAATTCTTTGATACTTCGTACTTCATATTATCTTATTCGTTTCCTTAATTTGACTATCTTTTCTAAGCAAAAACACAACTCTCCTCAAATGGAAAAGTAATCTTGATTTTCTATCCTAGGATTAGTTTTAAGATTAGTTTCAATGCATATTTGTTTCTATCCTAGGATTTATTAATTTTTGAAAAAAAAAAACATGTCTAATAAAAGGGTATTTGGAAGATTGCTTTACAAATATTCCTCTTTAAGCAAGTAGGCAACAATTTCAAATTGTAAGTTTCGAGCAAAAAGTGCAAAATTTCAACAGTAAAATGTTTGCACAATGTTATCACTTTGAGAGGCAAAAACATGCCCAATATCGGGCAAAATAACCAAAATAATCTCATCCACTAAAGAAATAAAAGGAAGAAATAATTATTTAATTGGGTGACTCAGCTAAGAGTGTCTTCAAATTTGACCTTATCCATTTTCTTGTTAATTGGGAAATCCTAGACAACTTCAAACCTTATGGAATTGATAATGACAAGGCTCAAGATAAAAGCAAAAGTGTATTACTTAATCATTTTTTTAAAAATTAAATAAATATTAATTAAAATAAAATTAAAAGATTTAAGAAGATAAAAATAAAAGCACACCTCAGCATTATTTACATACCTTATCAAAATTGTACGTGTATTTCCTCCCCAATCCATGACTTGATACCTATCCATAAAATATTCTTTTATTTTTTTGGAATTATTTGAATTATTATTATAATAATTATCCAAAACTATCACCTATATATAAATAGTATGCAGCATGGGTGTGTAATAACCAGAGGAAAATTTTGCTATTACTTGAAGCCAAGAAATTCTTAACAAAAAAACATGGGAAAACAAGAAGAATCAAAGATTAATTTTCAATTAATTCCAACACCTGAGGAAATGATTGCAGCAAACAATTTTGAGCAAAAAAAAAGTTGTAATTTTTACAACAAATCGCAGAAATTATCATTAGGTGGTACTAGTAGTAGTAGTAGTAGTAGTATTAGTAGCTGTGATTCAACCACAACTTTTGAATCAAATTCATCATCTTCATCAGATTTAATGGAGGATGCTACTTCTACATCATCATCTTCTACAGATGGACCTTTATTTCATTTGTCAGATCTCATGGATAAACTTCCTATCAAGTAAGTAACACTTTCATGGCTCTTTGTATATTTTTTAAAGAAAGTGTTGCGCATCATGTTCTCGAGTGGAAAATTATTGTTTATGGCTTTCTGTTTTTTTATTGAAAAAAACATGTAACCGGGAGCATGTAGCGCAATAACATGTTCTCCAGTGTAGGACTTAAAGTCTATTTTGGGGGTTAGAATTTTGTATTTGTGATGGGATTTGGCAAATTTGCACATAAGAGAAAATGGGTATTTTGATTTGTGCCATATTTTATGGTTTTTTTTTTTGTAAAATTGAGTGTATGAAATGGAATTTTGTGCTAAACAAAGTTTTTATCTTTCTACAGAAAAGGGCTATCAAAGTATTATTCAGGGAAATCAGAGTCATTTACATCACTAGCAAGTGTGGAGAATTTGGAAGATCTTGTGAAGAGAGAAAATCCGTACAGAAAAAAGATGAAATTATGCAGGAGTTATTACAGTCCAAAACCAACAATTTCAAAGAAAGTTTCATATTCAAGAAATTCTTTTTCAAGAAATTGTAGCAGTAATCTCATGTCTTCAGCTTGCAGATCGCCTTCTATACCTCCTATGTTTAAGGAATTTTAATTTCATCCATTTTTTTTTGGTTATTTCCTTTTTTAGAAGAATGTTAATTTTAAGGTAAATCAGAAAATTTTGTACGGTTAGCAATCTGCCTGTACCAGTGTTCACTGCTGCAAGTGCAAGAGAAAAAAAATTTGATGATTTTTTCTCAATGTTTCGCAATTTTTATTAGGAGTGTTCAGAGAATTATTTTTGCAAATCAAGTTTCGCGAAAGTAATGATGCATTATGGGAAGGTGTTCATATAAAGTAAATGTTGTCCCTTGTATCAGTTGTATGGTGTATGCCGTGTATGAGTATTGCAAATCAAGTTCCGCGAAAGTAATGATGCATTATGGGAAGGAGTTCATATAAAGTAACTCAGCATTATCCCTTGCATACATGTATCAGTTGTATGGTGTATCCCATCTTGCTACGCTGTATTAAATAAGCTAACAACATTCTCTACCCGCTTAACATGAGAAATAACAGGCGCATTAAATGCATATGAGAGAGTTCGCCAGTGTATTTATAAATCAAGAAGAAGAGAAGGTTTATGTCATTGTGTTATTGTTTTCACAACTTTGAGTGCATCATAACCAGAATGACGAGCGAGTTGCAAATTACACCTCCGCCATCTCTGCCTCCCAATTCATCACCACCCTTGTTGCAGCCACATGAATTCGACCAATCTTAATGACCACCTTGAAACCCACATACAATCCCGCAACAATGTGAGAAATTATACTTACAAATTTACCTCCCAGAAGATGACACCAACCTGAAGGCTGAAGCTACGACAAGCAAGGCAATTACAGCTCTTGTTCGTGCCATGATGGTGGGCAGCAATTATAGGTAGTTGCTACTGGTGGTAATAGGCGATGCAATAAGTGAGGGTAGCAGCAACAGTGGTACAAGACATTGGTGTAATAAAAGAGTTTTTAGGCTGGTGCAGGAGAGGTTGGGGAGTATTATTTTTAGTAAAAAATTTCAACCACATTTTAGAATTACGATTAAGGATTTCACTATGAGATAAAGGAAGCCTTTAATTATATAATTAAGAAATTAATTGTTGTTTAGTTTCCTGATCAACAGCCCCATTTAGTGGTACTTTTGTGCAAAAAATTGTGTAAATAAAGCCAATTTTGCAAAATATAGGCATCTGTCACGAACAAACTCAAACGTCTCAAAGTACTGCAACGTCTGCAAGAGGGATAATTTCCTTTTGAACTCTTGAATGAGTATTTCTCAGTGTACACTATAACAAGATGATAATCAAATCAAGAACAAACTCCAAAAATGTTGATGCCCTCTAAAAATACATCAAGAACTACAATTACTTGTCATATCTGGTAGACGGGGGTAATTCCAAGAAGCTTAAAGCATTTTCTCATGACCACAGCAGTTGCTTCACATAGCAAGAGTCTGCTTGTTTCTTCCGGTGAGCCAACCACCTATAAAGTCGTAGGTAAGATCAGAAGGTTTTCAAGCCATGATTGCAAGAAGAAAGCCTGAATTGATCCAAATAATATAGTTCCAGTAAAGATAGATAAAGTGTTGATTCCATACCTGACAATTGGAGTAGAACTTTGTGAAGAACTCTGACACGTTATACAAGTACTCACATAACACGTTCGGCAAGAGATTGGTACAGGCTTCTTCAACAATCTGACCAATTTTTAAGAACGGCAGACATACTTATGTCAACATATCTTCAAATACCTAAATTCTGTGCAATTGCCAATATGAGCAACCTGAATACAGCCTGCCATCTTGTGATGGAACAAGTCTTACCTCAGAAAAATGAAGCAAATGAAGACCCAAAGCACGCTCATCAGAGTGATCCAAAACAACTTGCCCATTCTGTTTAAATTTGTTGATTAGTTAGACGTCAAGTGTATGGTGCAAGAGCGACTTTCATGAATTTCATCCATTGATAATTATAAAAAAAGAAATATAACTCACCTTCTTCAGCTCCTCAATGTCTTTACCAGACTTCCGAATAATTGAACAAATTCGAGCATGGGCATAGAGTAAATAGACAGCTGTATTTCCCTACAAAATAATTGCATGAAATTGTTCAGCTTTCAGCAAAGGCAAGAGATAAGCTTCAACAAACCACGGCACCACGCAAATCCAAGATCCCCCAGAAGAAGCAAAAAGAAAGATAAGAAGAAAGCAAAAGGTACCTTATCATTAAGCATCTGATCAAAGTTAAAGGTATAGTTAGTGAGTCTGTTGTTCTTCAAGTCAGCATACCTGCATAAGGCATCGAGGGAAACAAAAAAATCAATCTATTTACCCATGAATCCTTGATGATAGGCATTATCAATTTAGCATTATAATAATAATATTTTGAACCAACATAATATCTATGCAAAGCATGTATTTATTGCAGTGACTGGCACAATGTTCAGTAAAATCAAGAGCCCTGTGAGCCCTCTGCCCCCCTAACAAATATCATGTCTTCTTGAGCAAACGAGAAAAACAAACTAGCACAATAGTCCCAAGGAAAGGGACATAGCTAATAATAATTCTGCTTCCTTGGTCATCTAGAAGAGGGCAATAAGGAAGCAGAGAAAAAAAAAATGCAATGATAATGATAAAGAATAAACAGGAATTACAGAACTTACTTAACCGCCCCATAACCAACAGCTTCTGCAGTTTGCAACAATTGCTCCTCAGACCACTCCTTATCTTTACCTATAAAAAACATAGCCTTAATGTAAAACTTGGCCTAAACTTCCAGTAGATGAAGAAAGCACAAAGCAATACAATAAAATGCATAAGACTGCCTAAACTTTTGAGCATTAACCCAGAAAAGGAAGTGGAAATTGGAATACATGCAATTATATAGAGAAACATATCAAAATTAATTAGTGATACCTCGCTCAACAAGAGCTTCTTTACTCCGATTTTTGGCCTCATCTAGTAAATCAACCAAACGGACTACTTCGGAACTTCGAGTTCGGAAACGCTTTCCATCTTCTCCTAGGACAAGACCAAAGCCAACATGATTAACTTTGGGGTATTTATTGTCACCGCTTGGAAGCCAGCCAGCGAGCTTTGCAGCCTGTGAAAATTTTGTTTAAACAAAAAAAAGCACAAAATTTTATCAAGGCATACATGCAAAAATGTACTGACAAGAGAGACAGCAATAACCTAGTCACACATAATGGTCGGCACTAAGCATCATTGAAGAAATCATCAGTAGCTACAAATTACTGAAGCACCAAATACAGTTACACAAAACAATATGGGAAAAGAAAAATACGTACATGGAAGAACATTTCAAAGTGCTCACGCTGACCAACATCGGTTACATATATTATCCATTCGGCTTTTTCTTCATTAAGGCGGTACCTTCCATGAAATAAATAGTTGGAGGTATTAGAAACATATTATACTAAGTAGTTCTGAATGGGTCAACTGAGGCAAGTGAGATTTACCAATTGGCATCTGCCAAACAAGAATGGGTAAGAAAATGATGGGTTATACACTTACCATCTAAAAGACTAGAATTTGACATTTACAATTAGTTTAATTTACTATATACACTCACCAAAGAGCTGTTAAATCAGTGGAAGCATAATTGAAACCTCCATCTCTCTTCACAACTATAAGAGGTATCTGTTTGCCTTCAATAAATATAACCTCAGCACCCTCACTTGGTTCGACTAAACCTTTACTCCTCAAAATCTCCAAAACTTTTGGAATATATGGATTATAGAAGCTTTCTCCCTGACACAAGCAAAAAAACAGAGATTTGTAATTTGTAAACATAGTCTTAGTCTCTTAGATCAACCACTAATGCCAAGAGAAAATGCCAATATTATGTAGCATGCACATAACTTTCATAGCTAGCACATATAGTATTGACTATATAGTACATAGCTTTTTTTTTTTTTTTTTTTTTTTTTTTTGAAGTATAGTAAGTAGTACATAGCTTAAAAACTAGGAAAAATACCTTTTCTTCTAACTGTACTCCAAGGCGTACATAGACCTTCTGAAATTCCCTGCGACTAATTTCACAAATTTTTGCCCATGCTTCACGATACTTGGAATCCCCACCCTATGTAAAAGTAAAATTGTAAAATCCATTAAAAGAAAAAAGTAATATAAAATACAATAAAATAAAAGGCTACTCCCTCCATTAGCACTAACTTGGGCAAGTAGTTTCAAGATTTCTATGGTACAAGCTATTGATTGTGTAAACGGGGATACTTTAAAAGTAGAAGCTGATACAGAGAGGTAATATCATATTCCACGGGAGAGGGGAATTTTTATTAATGTTAAAATTACAGACCTTCCCACAAATTAGAAGAGCATGCGGTGGGGGGGGGGGGGGGGCGATTAAATATTGGTGCAAACTTGCAAATTATATAAGTGTTTATGGGAAATGTTGCAAATACCATGATTGTTCTGCTTTGGAGGGAGTAAGAAACAAACTAGCTCCTCTTTAACAAAAAATAAAATTCAAAGATAGCCAACCTCTGGTCAAGGAGAGGAAGAATACAGACTCCCCTTCCTAACCTCACAAACTTGCAAACAGCAAAGATTGATTGCGTACCTGAAGGCTCACCACAGCCTTTTGTGCCCTTTCCTTGAACTCGGGATCATCATCAAATCTCTTCTTTGATTGCTTGTAGAAGCCCTATAAATGCATCATCCTAACTGTCAGGTCAGAACAACAATCTTCCTAAATTATCATCAGTCAAGTATAGCATAACTTTCTACATTATACAGGAGTAAGGAAAAAAGTAAGGTGAGGGCAAGTATACAACTGCATCCTAACAACAGAGACAATATTGATATTTCAACTAACAACAGTTTTCCAATTTAAATTTCAAGAGGAGGATGAGCATAATGCAGAGAAACAAAATAGGAATCATTGCATCTTTTGGATGGATGAGATCAACAGCACATTAAAATTGCAACACTTGATACTATCACCAAACATCTCTTTCGACTCTTTTGTTCTTCCTTATCGCCACATAGCCCCAAAAAAGAAAGGTAGAGAAAGAAATTTGTAATAGCCGCTTGACCAAATTGCTGCTTGTTCTGGATCTATCAGTCACCAGCAAGACTAATGAGGTGAAGTGGAAGTAATCTCACTGTTCCCCAGCACCACCTCTCCCACTCCATTACCTTAAATACTCTTAAACACCTTACCT